GCATTTAGCTAGCCTTTTGCTACTTTAGCTTAAAGCTAACCTTTAGCTACTTTTATCTAGTCCTTCCTTTCCTTTTGTTTTTAGCTAAACTTTTAGTTTCTAACCAGCGATTTGATTTTTACTTTGGTGTTTTTATCTGTACCAGCTAGCATTTAGCTAGCCTTTTGCTACTTTAGCTTAAAGCTAACCTTTAGCTACTTTTATCTAGTTCTTTCTTTCCTTTAGTTTTTAGTTAAACCTTTAGTTTCTAACTAGCGATTTGATTTTTACTTTGGTGTTTTTATCTGTACCAGCTAGCATTTAGCTAGCCTTTTGCTACTTTAGCTTGCAACTAACCTTGTGTTACTTTTAGTTAACTCGTTCCTTCTTTTAATTTTTAGCAAAATGGTAAACTTTAAACATTTTGTTTCTAACTGGTGTTTTGCTTTAAGCTTTAGTGTTTTTATCYGTTCCAGTTTGAGTTGATCAAAGTCATTCAGCTCATTGCAGCTTCTCTGCTTTGTTTAAACCTTTTCTCCACGTAAAAAAACCTGAACTCTCCCTTTAACCTGCTGACACTTTATTGTAATTAACCCTTGTGAGGTCTGTCTCCTGTTACAGTATCTGCTCATCAAGACGTGTCTGGCTGACCTTTGWAAAGCCTCAGGAGATAATGAGCAGTCTGCTGGTCATGAAGTCATGAGCAGAAAGAAAAGCTGATTAAAGCAGAAGTGGCACTCAGCAGCATAATAAAGACATTTCTCCTCTGAAGCTTTGTGTAACAAACAGAAAATAWCACTTTCAGGGTTTTGAGCTCCRCTTGACACAAAWTCTGTTTTTATTTTTATTTTGATTAAACTCTTAAAAGATGCTTTGAAAGCTTCGGCAGGTTCCCACAGGTAGAACTGAGCTCCTTCAATCTGTTTCCAACAGGATGATCTGCGTTTAATGAGGTTAAAACACAGGAACATGTCTCACAAACATCTCTTTTCATCCCTTCAGGACCGTCACATCAGCCCTTTTGTGATCTTTAAGTGGACAAATCTCAGAAATGTTAAAAGCACGCACACTTTTCTGCA